ACTTGAACAATAGTATTTTATCGAACACTACGATTGCAAAATATTTGACTGTACATGACGATCTTATAAGTAATAGGACGTATACGGAACGTTTATATTTCTGTTTGTGGTATCCAAAGATTAGTTTAATATTTTGTTTTCTTTAGCTTGGTCATAACGATTTGGCGTTCAGAATGAAGTTTCCAATACTAGGTTTGGCAATGCGGAGTTGGGTGTTAAAAGATGGAATAACCTTGTTTGCTAATACATTCGGAATTTGTATTTGAAAGAACTAAATATAAATATGAGGAGAATTAATTAATAGCATAACCCTAAACCTACAAAATGGATTAAATTTACCTGAAAAAATTCTTGCATATAAATTATTGGTTTTCAAGTCTATACTGTTGTAATAATTTCCGTATAGCATGTTATAAGACAATGCTCAGTGTTTTGCCTCATCCGTAATGTTCTTAATGGAATCATCGTTATGCTGTTCAGACTTTAATCTAAAGCTTTGCTAGCAAAAACGACCGGCGATCTTTGGTGCAAAGTGTGTGAAGTTCGAAATGTCATTAAGATTGATGTTTTGTGAATATGTTCCTACTTGAAATTATTTTTACACTCCTGTTGATTCTATGTCCAGTTATGAATTCTGCTCCATTTCCATACATAGAATAAGACATAACTGTAAGGTATTCGATCAATACAACACGTTTTTAAGGTATTATCCGTAACATACACATCATCTAGCTTGAGATTGCGGAATAGGATTAAGGTGAAGAAACGAAGGAATGGGAAGTGACATATAAACAAAACGAGAAGAAGTAGATGAAGAAAAATGCAATCAGGAGAAAGTTCAGTGAGAATAGAAAACGTAGAGTTACAAAAGGAAATAGAAATGGAAGAAGCGCGAATAGGTGGAGCCTGCTAAAATGAAATGCTATGAGAAGGTTCTTCGGCGTGAGCTGGACGAATTGCTAGCAAACTGAGTAGCGCAACAAACTAACTTCACATAAGCTTGCACTGGTGGGTAGTGTGACCCTTCTCAAACAACGGCTAGCTGCCGAACAGGTTCAGGTGAACACCTCATCAGCTGTATGAGGTTGTCGAATTGAATCAAAACTTTCCACGTTGGATCGGAACGGATCTCATGACTGCAGACCACGTTGTGTATTTTTGAGCATGTACAATCGTTGTTTCCTCCCCCTTATCCGTTCTTCATAGCAATAATAAGTGACTGAATAATTTTTGAAATAAAATTTTAATAAACTGAACGGTTCAGTTGAATATTTTGTTGATGCTACAGATGCGTTGTCGATTCACGTTTGAAGACACCGAACAAAACGTGTTAACGGATTTGTTACTAGCGCGTTTCAAAGTTTGTACCATCGTCAGGGTACAACCGATTATTAAGCAGCCACCCGTCTCATGTAAACATAATACCTCGATATAAAGCGATTGGCGATAGTTTTGCCGTCATATCATAATTTTGAACCTTAGAGTTTACTCTCTACTGATCGTGGCATCGTTCAAAATTTTTTCATGTCAGGTTCGAATGGTACCTCAGATTTTACTTATCACCACAGAAAGTGTATTCCTTACACATACGATGTTTCATCGTCAAAATATTTAAGGATTACTGTATCACTATGCCAAGGTCAGACCGGCCTTTTTCCATTTAAGAAACATTTGTTTGACTGCTGTAGTTTATCTCAAAAACGACTTCATGCGCAGTAGCAGGATAATCAGTATTTTTCTGAAGTTGACCGCTCATAAGTGTTGTTTAATCCGGATATTATATTTCCAATGTATGTTATCACAGTCAGCATTATGAAATTTGTTATGGTTTTTCCCTGGTCTGTAGGTATGATTCATGAACAGAGACATCCCTAAGCTCATGACGGGGTTGTAGTAGACCCGGAACCCCATGTTATTGAGGTGTCTTCGGACTGACTAGGATTCCTGAGGTAAGGCAAAATTACCATAGGCCTATTCCTACACGGTTTCATCTCACTTCAGTTACGGTATCATAATTCACTGTCCAGAGCTCTCCCTGAATAGCCATTTTTCAGGAATGCGTGATAAAGATGTATAATTTCACGGTCTTTGATATATAGTTAAGAAGGGCACGAGAAGATATAATGAAAGCTCTTGTTTTCTATCGATGGGTATCGTCGACACAGGCAGTAGGAAAAAACAGAAGCTTGTGGCCGTTGGAATGTCTCGTCCTTACGCTTTAATGACCGGGTCATTTCTGGTGTCCTGCTTTTCATGAAGTTAATAGTTGTGCTCATCTCCAGTTTTACATTAACTGCCAGGAGTGGATTATTATTTTTAAATCAGAGTCAACAGGAACCATGTGGCAAATGGTATCCTATTTCCTACTTACAGAGGGGTATTCATTTATGAGCCTCGTAAGAAAGAAAGGCAAGTCATGACCTGAGAATGAACGTTGGAATTCTCGGTTTTGAATCCGACAGCAACCCTAATGTATCGGATACGGGTCACATCAAAATTAAACTATTCTTGTGAACAACAGAAGCAAAATTTCTAGCTTGTTCTCAGGATAGGTCGTGCGAGGTATACGGCTATGCTGTATAATGCTGCACGTAACCTTGACCCATATGATAGTTGACTAAAAATCAACACAGATATAAACGTAATTTTTAAAAATTGAATAAATTGATTAAATTAAGTTTAAGTCGGTACTGGTGAATTGTAGAACAGTAAGTTTTACGCTCAGGCTGAGATTCAATCCAGCCCGTTTGTACAGGCCTATCTATGGTCATATTCTTCGGTTCCATAGCGTAGGCGCGATTTCTTAACAATATGCTATGCTGCTGATCCTTCAGCGTGACACAAATTAAATCCTGAGTGTGTGATTGAGGAAAGCGCCTTGATCGAATTTGAGCTGTTACCTGTGCGAAGTGTACATGACAAGTAAATGAGCCACAATGATTGAAAGTCGATCGACAGACTTGAACAGACAGAGGGGGGGGGCAGTGATACACATGGAAGAGGTCAGCTTCGAATTCATAGGTGACGGATTAAGCCAAAGGTATTTTTTTGAGCAGCTTGTTCAGATGAGCAGAGAATTTTCCAAACATTGCTCATGGCATGGTTGGAAGCAGGAAAGATTGTGATTGATTGATTGACTGATTTGCGATAAAGTCGTTTTGTGCTGATGGCAACTACAAGTTGTACAAACGAATTAATTTAGCTAGTTTTTACTGGCTTGTGGTTGGGGGCACAAGACGATGCCGATGGGAAACTTTTTATTGTGGACATCACACAGGCATGACGATGATGGCAATAAACATGTTTAATTTTATATAACTTGCTTTACTAACATTAACACCGTATGTTCGTATTATTTAACGAAATTACAGATATGTTCGAACCTCATTACATTTAAAGAACAGATCAACAAGTTGATCAGTGAATTATGAGCGAAAATCTATCTGGAACCTTTCATTCTCGAGCAATTCTGAAATGTAGACCATTAGCTAAACAGAATCAGCTATGACCACACCACATTCGCCTAGAACCACCTTGGCAGTAGCCGTCTACTGATGGTTTCCTACCCAAGTAATATGTGTGGAACGATACAATGGTCATTGAACAAATGCAGCGTTAGGACAGTAAGCCGCCCCTATAAGCTAGGATATTCTCTGTATATTAAAGGGATCTTAAGATCGAGTATTTCGTTCGTGCGTTGGTAATCATACTGAGACCAGGTTGTACAGTAGCTGCGGGCAAAATAATTGGCATCAAAAATTGACTGATTCTTTTCTGAAGAAGGCCCTTAAAGTGAGCTGAACGTCGGGACTGGTTAATCACTCGATTGACCAATTTACTGGCGTTGTGTATGATCAAGCGTTGTTTTTATACAGTTTTCAAGAAAGGGATCCTACCACAAAACGTAGTGTATTGCGTTAATGATACCTATGGCGACACGTTCGGCGGAGAACCTGATCGAAAACAGAGAAATAGGAAATGGCCTGCATAAGTATAGCAAGTGATAAAAGCTAGCAGTGGTGGAATACGACATCATAAAGAACCATGTCGCAATCCACTAAGATAATTCGAAGAAAGGGATATTTAAGAAAAAATAATGATAATGAAGGATGTAATGGCGGACCAAACCAGCAACAAAATAAATAGCCGGAAGAAACGTACAGCATCAGCCTTGCCTGGTTACCGCTGCTGGAATCTATTAACATGCCAGTAGCTGGCCGTGCATATTTGTTTTTCCCAGACTATTATCTTGAAATATATTTTTGCCTTTGTACGCGCTGATGTTAATGCATCCCTGGCGCGTCTGAACTTAGCTAGGTCATCGAAACTGTGGAACAATGTACCGAGCTCGGCCTTTTGTGCAGGTGGTTTTCACCATGAGATGCAGCATCGTTGTCGATCGTGCTGTTTTTAATGTTCATTAAAAACGTTTTTGTTTAATAACTTAGTTATGAACTTTTATTCCTAACTAGTGACTCGTTCCGTTTGAAACTTCTTCGGACGACACCGAACCGTATATTTTAATACGTGCTGTTCTCCTTTGCTCGTGGTTACGCGGTGTATTTCGTGATGGATCAACGCAGTTACCATCAGCTTTGCTAGCTGGTCTCAACTGTGAATCAATGAATATGCCACAGTTCTAACGGCGGATCCAGAATCGAATTCGTCATATCTATATGACCAAACGTAGAAACTAAATTAATCTGATTTGTGCCTCAGTGCGTTTAACTTTGGATACGCTTCTGCCAAGGTATAGCTTTTTTTTGTTGCCATCGCCTTTTACAGATACGTTCATCAGTGTAATTATGATTTCGTTCGTTTCAGATCCGTTGAATCTACTCACTCATCTACCATGCAGATATGTCCTAAGACGTCGTCGTAGACAACGGTTGTGTTGGTTTTCGTTTTTGTCTTGAAGAGGGCTGTTCGTTTGGACGAGACTATTTTCTTCGGAGCTGGGAAAGTGTTCTGACGAGAATGAAGAGGCTTCGATTGGTGGTATGAATTCGTACGTGCTCAGCATCGTTCGACAGAACATCTGGGCTTCGCTGACCGGTGGCTGGTACTACGATCCGTTGCACGGCCGCTTCTGCAACACTGTCCACTTATACCTGTGGCTGTCCTTGTTCGTGCTACCGCTGCTGTGTGCAGTGTGTCGTCCAAGCGCCTTCTGGCAGCGGGCTTCATTCTGCTACCCGTGCCTCATCGCGCTGCTCTTCTCCGTCCTCAAGCTTACCACTTGGTACCTTCACAAGGTGTTCGACTCGCACGAGGCCATCGAAGAGGAACCGTGTTATACTACGGCATCCGCCTCCGCCTCCGCCTCTGACCAGTCATCGTCAGTCGTCGGAAACAACAACAACGTAAGTGTTGTGCACAATGATCGGTTCGAAACAGCAGCGGTCAACGAAGCGATGACCACTTGCAATGACTATACCTGCTGCTTTTACCTTTATTTCATAGCATCCTTACAGACATATAGTTAATACTATTAGTATTCGCATGCTCTGCGTGGTTGTGTGAGTTTTAAAATGGGCAGAGTTACTAAAAATATTTCGACTAATTTTATGCTGCTTTTTGACGCGTTACATTGGCTAGCATTTTCTGCCCGTTCGTTGGAAGAAGATGGCCAGGACTCACTTCGCCCTCAGCCTTTTTTTCTGAACCGCAAACAAGCGAGAAGAAAATTTATTCAGGAGCTCTTGATTACGTTTTAAAAATTTTCCTGTCTGGTTGTAATGTGCGACCGGTTTTTCTGGTCGACACTGATATATCATATCAACATTGTTTTCCTGGTTATCATCATTTTATGGTCGTGGCATTGTCACAATCTGGGGCATCTACGTAATCGTTTTATTATGTTTATCATCACCATCGTCGTAACAGTCATCAGTATTATAGTCATTAACACAATGTTAAGTTTTGAAACGCTCTGGCTGTTCACGACAACAATTTAAATTTTAATTTACTGGCAACATTTCGACCGACCAGTTTTCAACGCGTTGAAAGAAGGGACAGGAAGAAAAGTTTGTGGCCGTTGGTATATCGGTCTTCCTTACATTGTCCTGATGGGAGGGGGGCATTTCTGGCGACCTTCTTTTCATGAAATTAACGGTGGGGTGCTCATCCGTTTTTATGCCATTTACCCTTATTTTTCAAGATTGAGTCAGGAGCAGCCATGGAGCAAACATGTTGAGTAGCCTCCTGCTTCCTTCCTTTAGAGTGGTGCTGGTATATCAGCCTCAGAAGGAAGAAGGATGAGTGATCCAACGATGGCTCTTATTCGGACTTCTTGACTCTTAATCCCGACGCTCTATCCATTGAGCAACCCTAGTCAATAGGTGAACAAAAATTTTTGTCTCAATAGTGATAATCTCTATGGTATCTATTTATCGTAATGGTCAAGCTGCACAGTCGTCACCGTCATTATCTTATTGGTTACCATATCATAATCTTCGCTGTCATAATAGTCATAATCTGTAAGCCATCATCATCATCGTCATCAACGTATCTTCGTCATTATCTTCCCATTATCATCACTATGGTTGTGTTTCTGTCGAGTAATCTTTAGTATGATCTTCAACGCTATCATGATCATATCGTCCTCATCATCACTACACTCTTCATTGTCAGCATCGTATCATCATAGTCAGCACGATAATCATCATTAGTTATCAGTAGCCATTATAATCACTGATATCATAACAAGATCAGAAAAAAAATCAATGTCATCATTGTTCTCATCGCGACAGTTTCATGACAATCTTCATAATCATATTTGTCATATTTATCATTATCGTTATCGTATTCATTATCGTTGTTATGAACGTCAACGTTTCTTCGTGCTATCGTTGCAGTTAGCGTCAGTGTCTTTAAAATAATCGTTATCATTTTCGTTCACCATCGCAATCATTCCTTAAAAAATCACACACGAAATTTATTATGTATCTAGGTGCTGAAAGTTATGCGTTTTGATATTACTGTATTCTAACTTTCCTTGATTTAGACAATGGTATGTCAGCTAGAAATGCACGCTATTGCCAATATAGATTCAAGCGTATCTGCCTCGGGTATGTATATTCATTTTGCAGTGACGAGAGTTCTTTTGCTTTTCAATATTTTGAATTTAAGACCGTATAACACTCATCCTCTGTTCTTGAGAAACGTTTACCGGTTTCGTAGTCTACGTCCAGTTTGGATATATAATTTCTATCATTGTGATTATGCTCTCTCATACTGCCTACATATCTACTTTCTTGTTAACTGATTTGTTGGTGGCTACCTGCTTTAAAGTAGACCTTCGTAAGTTTTCACAGAGCGAAAAAGTATGACATCATGGTGACGATTAATTACAACAAGCAGCCCTGCCAGTATCTCCCAGGGG